CCCCAAAACCCCAAAACCCCAAAACCCCTATTCTCAGTATGTCAGTACAATTATGAATATAGAAAATTAGTATAGATAAGATAATATATGGAATTTGTTATAATTAAGTTAAGCTCTTTTAATTTATCTTACTCTTAACTATCTTTAAAGTTTTGTGATATTTTTCTTTTAAGCTCATTCAAACATTTTCTCTTCGTCTTGAAAGCATTCAAATATAAGATCACCCTATTCGTTTTCAAACTCTCTAATCTTATCATCAGGCTTCATATCATTATATTCGAGAGTTTGACTCAGATCATTGCTCACATCTTTAGGATGGAACATATGAGCACAAAGGTCAAGAACAGTTCTTTTATCAATTTCCCCGTTTTCGTTTTCAATTACTGGGATCTTAGAGTAGTACTCTACAAATTCACTGATACAATCAGCGAAACCACACTACTCAGCTTATTAAGAAAACTTTTCTTTGTTAAGGTAACTCAAGCAAATGAGTAGATGCATTAAAACTGAAGTTGGAATTTTCTTCTTAAGAAGATCAAGAATTCTTATCATAAGGCTCTTAGTTTTTGAAGCATTTTTAATTAGATATTCATGAGTTGTAGTTGCATGCAGCATATTAGCTAATAAGGCAGAGGAAAAATCAAGGGAGAATATATGAACTTCTTTAGAAGTCGATCTCTCTATTAGAGATAATATCCATTCAATCAATCCCTGCTCTAAGAACACAGCAATTGTATCTTCTTTGATTGAAATCTTTTAGAGTATAGCAACACAAAATCTTTAGTTGACACTACCATCTTCTTATTCCTTTAAGATATCAATAATTCTAGCAATGATCAGCTAGTCATTAGTTACTAAATACTCAACCCCTTTCAAAGTAGATACAATAACTGAAATAAGTGCTAGCAATGAATGTCTAAGTCCTTTATGCTTTATATCTAGCAATTCCATTAAAAATTAATTCTTGGTTCTAGCTGTTAGTAAAAATACATCATTTCTGATTAGTTCATATACCAAGTTTTTCCTCAACTCAGGTGATATTTAGAGGGCATTTACTCTTAATGATAGTAAGACTTCAACAATGCTTTTATAATTGTTTTCCTACTTGGCCTAATTCAGCTTTGTTTTATGCTCATTCATGACTGCCTCAGAGAATAGTTCTGATCTATCGCATTTACCCTCTGATGATAAAATCTGGTTGTATTTTCCAAGCTGGATATTGTAATTATCAATGGTTTCGCCTAGGTTTTCAGTCATACTATTGCCCTTTAATGAATTGAATGATTTTAAAGGTGCTTACATCCTTAATATTATGTAATTATTGTAGACAATTAATGGCAATTGAGAAAATCTGTCTAGCACTCTATAGTACTGAACTGTGCTACTTAGAGAGCATTTTATATTCTTCTTCATTTTTTGAAACATTACCCTCTGCTAATTTATCTTCAGTGTATAGGTGATACAGTCCTGGGAATCTCTGTAAGTGATCGATGTCCTATTCATATTATCAGATAATGATTTATTGATAAACTTTAGTAATAATCGAAGTGATTTACCTACCTAAGGTACTATATTAAGCTAATGAGATTTAGAACCCTTGTTGTTATAATACTTAGTTCTCTCCTCTGTTTAGAAAAGCTCTAGAGTTTGTTCAAGACCATGAAACTTGAGGTATTCCTTGACCATCTGATTGATTTCATTATAGTCCAATTTATCTACCATTTCACTATCCAATTTCAAATTTAAATTTCTTAATTATTATTTTCACTTTAAATTTTATCTATTCTTTCTTGCGGGGTTTTGGGGTTTTGGGGTTTTGGGGTTTTGGGG